ATGAATATAAGAAAGTGAAAATCAAAATCAACAAAAAAACTATGAACCAGAGACACTTTTTGGGGGTGGGGGGGCGGGAGGGGAAGGATTGGGGTCAGAATGGGGCGTTTGCAATTGTATGGGGGAATATAAAAATAAAATTTAATATTTAAAAAAAAAAAAAAAAAAAAAAAAAAGAGAGATAGAAGACATCTCTTCTAAAAGAAAATATAGAAAAGCATGTTGGTACAGGCATAGATTTCTTATACACATTCTGGAAAGCACTACCCTCACCCACCAAACAAAAAAAAAGATAAAATGAACTTTGTTAAAATTAGAACATTTATTTATCAAAAAAATTCAAAACCAAGACATGCTTCAAGAATACTTGTAATACATTTATCAGAAAAGGGTATTATAACTAAAATATATAGCAACTTAAATAATGAAAAGATAGCACAATAATAAAAAGATATTTTATAAATGGGCAAATTATTTGAAAGTTATAGCCCCAAAGAAGGTGTGCCAATGGCCTACTAGTATAGACAATATGACTAACTAGCTGTGCCCTTAAGATGTATAGTCAGTAGCTTACAACACCCCCTTACCAGCTGCATACTCTTCCCTCACTTCATTGCTAGGTCTTTGCCCTTTGATTGGCTCGGGGACTTGTCAGGCCTTCTTGTTTGTCTCTTTCCATGTTGGATCAGCTGCGGAGCACCTCCAAATTCTCAGTTGATCCTATCACATCCCTGTAGAGCATCTCTGAGATTCAAGATTCTGCTTATCCTTCTCTCTCTTTCTTATTTGTTCCACCAATCCTGGGAGTGATCCTTTTATTTTTTTCAGTTGAATAGTTGTTATATTTTCTCTATATTATCTTCTTGTGCTCTCCTTGCTACATCTTTATCACTAATTGTTACACATACTCTGCAGGAAGTAGTATGCTTTTTCTTTGAACTGTTCCTGATACAAAACCACATTTTATGTGATTTAAATGGATTGACTTGCCCACCTTGCAAGACACAATCCTATCTAATGATAACATGCCTGATGATTAGTCAGAAATTATCATCCACCAAAGAGATAATTCTCAGTGCTAGATGAGAGCCTATTATAATTTGATTATAGTTCTTTCTGACAAACATTTTAAAACATTTTTTTTGTTCTCTTTGGAGTTATTTAATTAGCAGGATTCAGTCTAGGAATTCCATATTTCTCCTTCTGACTCACCTCACTTACAATAATTCCTTCTAGTTCCATCCATGTTGCCACAAATGGCATGAGTTTATCTTTTTGGTTTGCTGAATAGTATTCCACTGTGTATATGTAACCACATCTTCTTGATCCACTACCAATTGTTCTAGATATTTGTAGAGTCTAGAGAAAATAAACAAATGATCAGACAAACTGTAAAACTAATCAATGAAAGCAGACTATAGATTTGAGACCTTTAGGAGGGGAGGGTACCTGGGAGGGAGAGGGATACCCATTTACAGCTAGATACAACTTTCTCTAGAACTGTGAAAAGATAATTTTTTCTTTTTCTTCTCTCCATTGATAAAAACCAGCTTGACTGAATGTGTGAACTCTAAGCAATGTAACCTATAACCGACACTAATTCTTTTTTTTTTTTTTTAAAAAAGATTTATTCATGCATATAAGAAGTGGGGTACAGGCCAGGGGTGGGGGATGAGAGGATTCACCAGAGACAGAGTGGGGAGCAGAACAGGCAGATTGACTGAAATACTCTGCTGAGCAGTGGTTGAGGCAGGAGAGGTCTCCTGTGTCATGTGGGTCACCTCCCTGGCCGGGGATCAAACTCATGCTGCAGTGGCTGCAGATAGCTCATAGTGCTGTGCTTACCCCCTTGTGCCACTAGGGAGGCCCCCAACACTAATTCTTGGTAAACAACTCTTGCAGTCCTATCCTCTTCCCTACTTTTTGTCCTTTAAAAATTCCTTAAAGCATTGGTGGTATACTATTTGGACTAATACCTGAGTTTGAGCTCCTCTCTGCAAATTTTAGATACCAGATAACCTCATAAATAATTTTTAATTTTGCACTTACTAAACTTCACTGTGCTATAAAGTTCTATGGGGTTTGAGAAATGTATAATGTCCACTATAATAGTATCAAATAAAATAGTTTCACTGTACTAAAAGAAATCCAAATATTTCTTTTACTCATCCTTCCCTCTTCCTTCAGAAAACTTGACAATATTCTTGCTGTCTCTACCAGTTTTACCTGTTTTGAAATGGCGTACGATTGGACACCTACAGTATCTAGTCTTTTCAGACTGGTTTTTTCACTTGGCAATGTGTATTTAGGGCTCCTACATATCTTTCATGGTTTAGTAGCTCATTTCTTTTTATTATTGAATAATATTTATGTGGATACACCAATTGGTTTATTCATTCACCTTTTGAAGAACATCTCACTTGCTTTCAGTTTTTCACAATCATGAATAAAGCTTCTATAAACACTCATAAGCAGGGTTTTGTATATTATGAATTTTTTTAAGATTTATTTATTTATTTATACATGCACTGGCTACAGTCAGAAGCGCTGGAGGGTGAGCAAATTCACCAGAGTCAGAGCAGAGAGCAGAGCAGGCAGACTGACAAAGTATACCGCTGAGGGGAGCAGCGGGCAGCAGGAGAGGTCTGTGCGCCATGTGGGACCCTCACCCGGCGGCCGGGGATCGAACTGGCGTTGCAAAGGCTGCGGGCAGCTTCACAACCCAGCGCTCAACCGCTGCGCCACGGGGGAGGCCCTAGATATGAATTTTTAAGCCAATTGATTAATTACCTAAAAGCATGGTTGCTGGATTAAAAGAAAATTATTTTTTTTAATCTTTATAAGAAGGTGTCAAAGTCTCTTCCAAAGGGGTTAGGCCAATTTGCATTACCAGCAGCAATGGATGAGATTCTAGGAAGGAGGGCAAATAATGAAAAGAAAATCTAAGTGCATTACGAATTTACAAAACAACCTCCGCAATGGGGATAGAGAGAGTAAGTGCTGGAAGAGTGAAGCCAAAGGAACTGCATATAAGCACTGTACTTTGATGAAGTTGGTTTCTATGAGGGTATAGGATGACAATTTTGATACTGTTGTATACGTACAAGGTATAAGGAAATGGAACAGTAATTGTGGGAGTTGTGGGCCAGGTTTATCTCCACTGAATGGGTATTTGTAAATAAGCAAAGACAGGAAGCTGGAATGATCTATGTGGTAATAGATTAACATTGGAGATATTAGTATGAGCTCAATTTACTTAATACAGTAAAGATGACTACATACACGCATATCTATAGGTGCCCAGCATATCCTGAAATAATGTTTCATTTAATGTTTTGATATAAATTGATGAGAAAAAGATGTTCATTTCCTGGCTGGGCATACTATGATCAGTTTATTTCTTTTAATTTAGTACTCCCCAAGTCTGAGTGGGTTTTTTATGGTTATTTCAGTTTTCTTCTACATCTGAAAGATGGGCATGTAATGTTCATTGGTGTGTCCTAAGTGTCCCAACAGGAGTGAGTGTGGGTGTTTCAGTATGCTCTGTGACTGAATGGTATTTCATTCATTTCTGCCTTATGTTCTGAATTTCCAGGATAGGGCTGGTCACTCTTGACTCTGAACTGGAATAAGCAGATTGAGAAATGAATGGCATACAAATTGTTGTTTAATAGTAAACTGTTTTGGTTCTTTATTTAGAAGTGATGGTTTTATGACCAGAACTATGCTTCAAAACTCTACTTTTGTTTATATCAAGTAGGCTATGGTAAAATTGGGCTTGTTATATATTGTTTTGCTTACAGTTGCAATTTCCAACAGCTTATCAATGATCGTACATGAAGAGTTACTGTGTACTCATTAATTAGTATACAAACATATGTCTTTGCTTTGTCCACTGTGAGGGCCTTAAAGGAATGACAACCCACTAGCAACGAGCACATCTAGCATATAGGTTATACCTTCTAATATAACTCCCTAGTGAGAGGAATGCAGGTTTCTTAGAGAAATGACTGATTCGATGCTGGGATAGGGAATAAACAATATGAACCTGGAGCATCTTGCAGTAAAACAAAGTAAGGAAGTACTCTAGCGCACACACACACACACACACACACACACACACACACACACCCAACCTCCCCCCCCCACCCACCCGGTACTACAAAGAGCCATGGAATAGCAGGTAAAAAAGTTCCCAGTGACCAAAACTAAAAAATTAGAGCAACAAAGTAAGTATTATTGGATTATAGCATAATGCATGAATTAAATGTTCACACGGTTAAACTGATAAATGACTGAATAAATTAAAAATGATGAAGAGATGAATTTCTCATGCAGAAGAATTCCAAGCAATTTGAGATACACTGACTTTAAGGAGGGGGAGAATAACTTGGAGTGGTGAGAGCATAACTACAGTGGAGAAACCAAGTGGTCAAGGTCAACATGAACATTCATAAATCAGATAGATTATATACCTTGATACAGTGGGATAAAAATAACCTGCACTCTTCCTCCCCCAAGCCTATTACCCCAGTATAATAATGACAAAATGATCAAATTCCAACATTACAGAAATCCTACTGTGATAGGGATCTTTAGGCACACTGACCTATCTGCACCTTGTGCCCATGACTCCTGGACTTTTAACTTAAAAGCAATCTATTTATTGAGTGACAAGAACAAATTTATAGCAGGCACCCATTTACAGCTAGATACCACCTTCTCTAGAACTGTGAAAAGATAATTTTTTCGTTTTTCTTCTTTCCATCGATAAAGACCAGCTTGACTAAATGTGTGAACTCTAAGGAATGTGACCTATAAATAACCACCACTAATTCTTGGTCAACAACTCCTGCAATCCTATCCTCCTACCCTCTTTTTGTCCTTTAAAAATTCCTTAAAACATCAGTGTGATACTATTTAGGCTAATACCTGAGTTTGAGCTCCTCTCTGCAAATTTTAGACACCATAAACATTTTATTTTATTTTTATTTTATTAGCCTTGCTGTCAGAAGTGAGACATTTCTGGTGTCAGAAGTGGAATCTGAAGTGACACACTGTCTTGACTCTGCTGCCACTGTTGGATATGAACAGATATGAGCCTGGTATCTGCAGTCAACCCATTATGCTCTGTCATCTTCCTGATGATCCTGGGTTACCGTGGTGAGTACTCTTGGTTTTGATCTTCCTATTTTTTGGCTGAGTGTCTGAACTTTATTTGGGTGTTTTCAGATGTTGGCTGTGTCCTCCTGTTGGAGGGGAGAATTCTGTCTCTACCAAATTGGTAGATGATTTGTGTTCACTGTTTCTGATGAGTACACTGTCCTTGGTCCATTAAAAGGGAGAGGTTTCAATCTCCACCATAGAATGGGAACTTCAGATTCAGGTTTATTGAGTGAGTACTTCATGTTTTTTGGTGCTGGCTTTTGTTTCTTTGAATTTACAATGGGCTAAAATTTGTATGGTTATTTGTCTCTTTGCAGTCAAAGAAATTTAAAATGCTTTGATTGTTGGTAAATATTTTAAGGATAGCCTGCATATGGAATTTGAGCTGGGATTTTTTTTTAAGTTTAAAATATATGATTCTTTCATAAATTTTGTCAAGATGAAGTAGTCTATCAATGATTTTAAATCACAGTGGCCACTTTGGGGACTCATTGAAATTTCTAAACTAGTTTTTACATGCTGGATTGGAAAAGGATCACAGAACTAGAGAAACTGAATGTAAATCTTATTTCCATTGGTTTCTGAAGGTTTTCAAGTGGTTAAATGAATCAAAGCTTGCTTCTAAACAAAATAGTAAACATAGAGTTTCTAAGGTTAACTCTGATTTTTCTCAGAGACTAAATTGGAAAAGCTTTCTAAAACTCAATTGCCTGCTGACACTGCTGCTCCTCTTTCTCTATTTCCTTCCTGCCCTTTACCTATTAACTCCTATTTCACTGTTTCCTGTTTTACATGATAAAACCTGAGGATCCTGTGGACACTCTGGTCTTTTAAGCATCCTTCAAAGTAAAACCTAGTGAGGGAGGTTCAGAGACTCCCTCCCTTTCTTACATCCCTTGGGCTAAGGCTGAATTAGGGGTTATTACTAAGAAATTTCCCTAATGCTTTGAAGAGTCCTTAGGATTTGCCAAAGACTTTAACCTTGTCATTCAGCAAACCTTGTTATCCTGGTCTCTAAAAGGTCATTTACATGCTGGTAAATAAAAATCATGCTAATACATAGATGGAAAATACAAGACTTTTCTGAAAGGAGGGCTACTTAGAATACTTTTAAATTAGTCAGATAATTGCTTAAAATGATTCCTGGCATCTTTCCAGAAAGCCATAATTTGGAATAAAATTCAGCGATTTTCTGAATTTTAAATTCAGTACTCAAACCCCCAATAAACTAGTGTCAGATTACTTTCACCAGTCTCAGAAAATCTTCAAACAATATTCTGGCATTGACAATATCAATTATGAAACTTCTTCCTTGTTTAATTCCACCTTTGTTAATGGGTTAAAAAATGAATTCAACACTTTGGTTGAAAGAAAACATGCTAACTGGGCTACTCTGGAACCATGTCTTGGTAAATTTGACTGATAAATTGTCTGTACTATACACTGGATAACAATAACAAGAGAGAAGGGAGCTCAAGATAATGCAATTGCATGTCCAACATGCTCAAATTATGAATTTCCCAGTTACAACAACTAACTTCAACAATTTCAAAATCTCCTCCTACTTAATAAATTTGTAATTACTATGAAAAAGCCTTTCTTTAATGAGAAAAAAACTGTTTCAAAAACAGAATGACTTCTGCAGTGTTACTGCTTGCAGGGAGGCACCTATGCCTTAATCAAACATGTCATGTGTTAAGACTTAATGAGTCTATATTGTATGTTAATGTCTGAAGAACCCAGTAATGTGTCGTCTTTGTAAGTCACATGAGGACATCAACGCCTGAATGATCTTGGTAAATGACCAAATCTGGTCTTTTGCTGCTTACTCAGAAAGTCAAACTCTGAACCAAGAGAGTGTCTTTTCACAAAGGACTTTATTTGAGGTGGCTGCTAACACCCTAAAAAACCAGCTTCCCAAATTGCTGGATGTTTTGATTGTATAAGTGGGGAATTAATGTGTGTGGAATGTGCTGGTAGTAGGGGCTTCGCCTTTCCAGGTCCAAGGAGATGTCAGGCAATTTATGTATCTTGAGTCAGTTTTTGGCTTTTCTTGGCAGGAAGTGTTTCTTTGGGTCTGTCAGCTGCTAGTAACCAGTCAATGTTTGTTTCTGATGTTATAATCAATCTCAAAGATTGTTAGAGATGCAACATAATCAATTTTCTGAGTTACTGGGAATGCACCTAGAGAGAAATGCTTTAGTTGAGATAGAGGTTAATAACAAGGTGAGGGTCGGAGGAGGAGAGAACGAAAGTGGTTGAGTTTAATTCTGTTTAGTTCTAATTTTCAGTCTAAGAGAGTGTTGGTTACAGAATGGAGGATTTTGGCTATGAATTCACCACCACCCTAGGGAAATTAATAATGCCGTAGTTTGGATCATAGAGGTCTTGGTAGAAAAAGTTGTCATTGATTTGGGGAATCACGTTAATGAGTTTTCTCTTGCATGAATTGTTACCTCCAGTGCTAACAGTTTGAGCTGCAAAATGCTGGTGAAATCCTTTGTTGATTACTTGGGCACATTGCTGAAGAGGGAGCATATGAGATTGCAAAGGCCTGTCACCAGGGGTGGAATGTTGGGGAAGGCAATAAAGAGAACATGGATGCCTGTTGGGTTTATGAGTTGGACTCAGACAATCTGAGACTTTTCATTCCCCTCCCCTGAAAATATGCATTCTCAGAGGTTAATTCAATAATACATCTTTGAAAGAATACATGTGGTGTGTTGTTTTGACCATGTGGACAGTTTTGACTATAGCTAGAACCTCTCTAAAACTTAAAGGTTTGATGTGGAATGATTTGAAAAAGTACTTTTCTTGTGGCTATCCAAGATAGAACTTAATAAGTTACCTTGTTTCTTAAAACTGCTCTCTACCAATATGGAGTAGTTTATCTCTTTGGTCCATCCTTGCTCTCAGCATATGGTTACCAATTTCAGATTCTATCTGGAAAGCACCTGCGTGGTACCCCAACAATTGAGAACAAACAAGGAGACCAAAGAAATGAACCTTGAAAAAGCAGTATCTACAAGAGAGTCCCTGTGCTGGCTATCAACTTCTGTAGGATGAGAGATGCCCATATGTCAGATGGAAAACATGCTAAACAGGCTTTAATGTGCTTGTTATGAGAAGCTGGGTAAGCACACTGTGACAAGGAAGAAAAATGAATGACTTTTGCAATGGGCTGACCTGTGCTATGGACAATTTGACTGTTGTTTATATAAAATAAGCAATCCCATTATTTTATGTTAGTGATACCGTGCTTTCTCAGTTTACATTACACTGTACCTGACAGGTACTCTTCAAAACTGTTCAGGGTTATCAAAAATAAATGTGTGAAATTGTTACAGTCAACAGGAGGTTGAAAACACCTGTCAACTAAGTGCAATGAGAGCACTGTACTGTGTTGTAAATGTTCTGTAAATATAAAACTTTAAAAAAGTGAGATCTGGGAAAGATAACATGGCGCCAAAGCTTCAGGGCTTCAACAAAACAAGTGCTCAGAAAAAAATTGTAGCTACAAACATCCACAGCTAATCCAATGAGAAGAGAAACAAGGCTATCACCTGGGAAAGGTAGTCAGGCCAAGAGACTTGCACACAGCATATTTTGTTCCGCACTGTTATTATCTTCCAGATAGGAATTTTGGTCTGAGTCTTTGCTGCATTTGCCCAGTGAGAGACATCAGATCCTCTCTGAAAGCAGGTGGGTATTCTCTGAGACATTCAAGGAAGGATAGTACATTCTTTCTCTAAGTTCAGTTACTTTAATCTGGAGTGCTCTTAGGTGGTCTAGATGAGTTCAGCAGAGGCCTTTACATTCCTTACTGATGCTTTTTTGCCCCATACTCAGATCTACAGAGGAAAACACTGCCCCTGCATTATTAGCCCTTGCTGGTGGGACAAGGATTCTGTTGTAGTATCCACAATAAGCCCCAGGAAAGGTGGGAAAGGAGTCTTCATTCATTTATTCTTTTATTATACAAATAGTTATGATCTATATATGCCAAGAATTGCTCTAAATTGCTACAAAAATAGAACTGAATAGACAAAATCTACTTGGAGCATAGGTTCAAATGAATGTGGGGGCACGGATGTGTGCTAATGTGTAGTGGGAACATACAACAAATGCATGTTCTGTATTTTATACTATGATTTGTGCTAGGAAGAGATTATAGTGGATGCAGGAAGGATCATTCCTGCTTTCCATTTGGGAACACTTCCACATGGTAGGAATCTAACATGTATATAAAATAGTATACTTCAAATAAATCAGCGTTATTATAATGAATGAGGCTACAAATGCAGAGAAATTTCTTTTTGTTGCAAAGCCTCTGGGGAAACATAAGTCTTCCATTTTAATCAGGTCCCTAGGACTTCCCAATTCATAAACCCCCTTGGGTCATATTGGCAGATGACTCTTTGGCTTTAGCAGATGATATTTACTATCTTCTCGGCTGGAGATGAGGCTCAGGGCAAAGCCCCCATCGGAAATTATGATCTGTAATTCATGGCTTCTCAGAGCCTGGGGTACTAAGGTCTGTGAAGTACTCTGGTTCCTTCAGCCCAAAACTCACCTAAACCAAGAACAATAACAAAAAATCATTTGCCCCTCCTGTATAATAGGGGAGAGGAGTGAGCAAGGTCAATACCGAAGTGCTGATGCAGAAGGGTGAGTGATGAATCTTCTGTTCCTGTTTTTCGGTATGGGAGTCAAGGATTCATTGAAATACCACATCAGTTCTCTGCTGCAATGGCCCTTGTCCCAGCAGTGGACCGGGTGAACTGTCAAAGCAGAAGTGCACTAGAGATTTGATAGAGTCTGAATGGCCACAGCATCTCTGAATCTTAGCTTTATGGAAATTGCCCTTCATGTCATTTTAATGTATATCTTTTTTTTTTTTTTTTTATAGAGGCATGCTTTATTTATTTATTTATTTATCGTTTTTGTTATACAAGCACTGGGTACAGTCAGAAGCGCGGAAGGGCGAGAGAATTCAC